ATCTATCTATCTATCTATCTATCTATCTATCTATCTATCTATCTATCCATCTATTTCTCAAATGTCTCACTTAGCAACAAAAATTCTGGGCTCCATTGCAATCATAAGTCGAGGACTACCTGTACAGAGGCTGAAAAATTGGAAAAATCCAAGAGTTTCAGGCATGTTAGGCAGATTTGACTTGGAACGAATCTCCCTGTCAGACAGAATTTAGATCAGGGAAGGAACGGAGTCAGTGCCTGGTTAATTCTGGGCAGGAGAACTGAAGCCCTGGAGGAAGAGAGAAGAGACTTTGCAGAACAAACCATTTCTTCAAAGCAGGGAGAAAAAAATATATATATTCCCCAAATTAAAAAGTGACTTTTTTAGAATACGCTATCAATGTTAACCAAAGAAAAGAGGGAAATTAAAGCCTTGGGCGAAATGCTTCGAAAGAAGAACTCGTTACGGAAATAAAAACGGAAACGAGAAAGTCCCGGTTAAAAAAAAATGAAGCTTAGATCCAGGTCGTCCTTGACTTACAGCAACAACGGGGGACTGGAATTTCCCTTGTAAAGCAAGAGGGGCATCAACTCATAAAATATTTCTCTGGTCTTTTTAGAGTGGCCAAGAGAAAGGGAGAGGGGAGCAACATGGCAGCTTGCAAACTGAAAGTGCATTCCAGAAATGTTTTCAAAGATAGGAACTAGGTGACTGAAGTTTCTGCCGAGACAAAATTCTAACTGGAGTGTATGATGGATGACTCTGGGCTAGGGAGGTGTCCCATTGGAGGATAGGAATTATGATACACCCAGGGGGAAGGGGGAAACCAGGGTCAAGGGTGACAATGAATTATGTGTCTCAGAGTCGGCTAAACCCAGGCAGTTCCGGACATGTTAACTCCCAATAAATCCTTTTTAAGTTTTGGAAGTTTGGCTCGAGACTCATGAATTAAACGGGGGTCACTGCCAGAATCCTGACAACTCACCTATGGAGGGTGGCAGTCACAACAACGGAAACGTTAGAATACGCATGTTGGATTCCATCCTAACTTACCGTGGCTTCTTTGAAAAAGTCCTTAAACCGCCTGTAGGACTCTTCCGTTTTCTCTAGGCTGCCTTCCGCCAATCCCATCATGCTCAGCTCTGGTTCTCCTTCTTCATCAATCCACAAAGTGACCTGAAGGAAGAAGCAACAGAAGAGAGAGAGAGAAAAAAACAAAACCTCTTTCTCTGGACAAGGACTTGCTTTGAAATTGAGCCAAGCACACAACGGTTTTAGCCAGGTCACTTCGCCTGATGCTCCGTTTCTAGAGAACGCGAAGCCCACTTGGGCCAGTCTTAGATTTCTTCTTGTCATTTGGGGCTTTGTTTGTCCTACCAAGAGGCCTGGAGGCGAAAGCAAACAAAGAACAGCTGCAGGATTTGGGTTTGCCCAGTCTAAAGAAAAGAAGAACTAGGGGGTGACATGACAGCTGAATTCTAGTATCTGAGGGCTGCCCCAAAAAAGAAGAGGGGGGTCCGCCTATTCTCCAAAGCACCAGAAGGCAGGACAAGAAACGATGGATGGAAACTCATCAAGGAGAGAAGCAACCTGGAATTAAGGAGGAATTTCCTAACAGGAAGGACAATTAACCAGTGGAACAGCTTGCCACCAGAAACTGTGGGCTCTCCATCACTGGAGGTTTTGAAGAAGAAAATGGACAGTCACTTGTCTGAAATAGTATAGATTCTCTTGCTTGAGCAGGGGGCGGGACTAGAAGACCCCTGGGGTCCCTTTCAGATCATTCATTCATTCACAGTGATGGGAGTACCCAGAACTTCTTGAAGCAAGCCGTTCCACTGATTATTCTCCCTGTCAGAAAGTTTCTCCTTATTTCCAGGTTGAATCTCTCCTTGTTCAGTTTCCATCCATTATTCCTTGTCTGGCCTTCAGGTGCTTTGGAAAATAGCTTGACCCCTTCCTCTTCTCTGGGGCAGCCCCTCAAATATTGGAAGGCTGCTCTCCTGTCTCCCCTGGTCCTTCTCTTCACCAGACTAGCCAGGCCCAGTTCCTGCAACCGTTCATCGTATGTTTTAGTCTCCAGTCCCCTCATCATCCTGGTTGCTCTTCTCTGCACTCTTTCTAGAGTCTCAAATCTCTTTTTTATAGTGTGGTGACCAAAACTGGATGCAGGACTCTAGCTTCTCTCCTTGGTTAGCTTCCATCCATTGTTTCTTGTCCTGCCCTCTTTGGAGAATAGCTTGACTCCCTCTTCTTTGAGGCGGACTTCAAATATTGGAAGGCTGCTCTCCTGTCTCCCCTGGTCCTTCTCTTTCCTAGACTAGCCAGGCCCAGTTGCTGCAATTCCATTCTTCATATGTTTGAGCCTCCAGTCCCCTCATCATCCTGGTTGCTCTTCTCTGTACTTTCTCTAGAGTCTCAACATCTTTTTTTATAGTGTGGTGACCAAAACTGGATGCAGGACTCTAGGTGTGGCCTTACTAAGGCTTTATAGAGTGGTATTAGTCCCTCCCTTGATCTTGGCTGTATCCCTCTGTTAATACAACTTAGGATTGCGTTGGCTTTTTTGAGTGACGCCACATGAACAAGGAAAGGATGGAAAGGCTGAACGGATGAGCACAATGGGATGTAACCAGCATTGGACGCAGTTTAGTTGCAGCCTTCACTTACCTGGTGAAATTCTTCCTCAAGTTCCCGGATCTTCTTGAGGAACTCCAAGTGCTCCAGGCAACCGTTGGATTTGGTCACCAGTGTGTGAACTTCTTCCTCCACCAGGTTGTAGACTGCCAAGGTGCTCTCAAAACTGCGCCTAACAAACACACACATGATGAGGGGACTGGAGGCTGAAACATGCGACGAACGGTTGCAGGAACTGAACGTGGCTGGTCTAGGGAACAGAAGGACCAGGGGAGCCACAGGAGAGCATCTTCCAATATTTGAGGGGATGCCCCAGAGGTGCTATTCAACCAGTTTGCACCTATTTGGGAGAACCGGTAGTGGTTATTTGGCATGGGTCGCCGAACAGGTGGCGACCCCTGGCTGGCCACGCCCCCAACCTGGTCGCCCGGTCGCTCACTTGCCCCGATTGCTCTCCTAGCTTTCCGTTCCCCATGTCCTCTTTCTTCCCGGGGGGGGGGAAAGGAGGAAAGGCATGGACACTGCAAGTATCCTTTCCCCTTGTGAGTTAAAAGTGCCTAGAATGAGAGAGAGTGCAGGGTGACAGAGGGGGACAATGGGATATTGATTGTTGGTGGGCAAGTTAAGGAAGAAGATTGGTATGAGTTGTCCTTGACTTATGGCCTCCATTGAACCAAAATTTGCCACTCAAGGTCCCGTGAGTGAAATGGAGAAGGCCAGGAGCCATGCATGGGATCTCCTCTTCCTCCCTCTTCCTCCTCCTCCTCCTCCTCCTCCTCCACTCTTTGGAAAAACTCCCTCCCTTCTAGCACTGATGATGTTCCCTAGTTGGGTCATGAAATATCTGCAAGAAAACAACCAAGCTCAGAGAGAACCAAGGACCCCACAGTCCTCCTCCTCCTCCTCTTCCTTCCTGCAAATTCTTCTCCCTTCCAGCACTGATATTACCTAGTTGGGTCATGAAATGTCTGCAAGGAAACAACCAACCCTGTTACTCCAAGAGCATCAAAGACCCCACAGTCCTCCTCCTACGCCCCCCGCTAAACCCACCTCCCTTCTAGCACTGGTGATGTTCCCTAGTTGGGTCATGAAAGGTCTGCAATGAAACCACCCAGCTGAGAGAGCACCAAGGACCTCACAGCCCTCCTCCTCTTCCTTCCTTCCTTCCTTCCTTCCTTCCTTCCTTCCTTCCTTCCTTCCTTCCTTCCTTCCTTCCTTCCTTCCTTTCCTCCTCCTCCTCCTCCTCTTGAGAACTGCCCTGAGGACTTGGCTTTCCTACCGGACATCAGGAGTGAAGCCGAGCCGGGTGGCCTCCTTCCGCAGCCTGGCCAGGGTGGCCCCTCCTTCCCTCTGCAAGCTGACCAGCTGGGCATCACGCAGAACGTCCTGCATGAGCTGCTGGTGCCGGTTGACTTGGCGCTCCACCGCCTGCGGGAGAAGCCAAACGCTTAGCCAAGTTCATGCAAGTGTCTTTGAGGCCCACGACGCTCCTAAATTGTGCTGGCCGTTCAGCGATTCACGCGCGGGGTTGCCTCGCTCGATGAGCCCAATCCCTGCTCTCCCTGTTGGAGTCCTTAAGTGAGCACACGAGTCGTTTAAGTGGAGCATGGGGTGCCTAAGGGGGGGGACGAGGTCTATGGCAAGCTCGGGTCCACCTACCGTTCCCTTCCCAACTCCCATGGGGTCTGTCTGGTCCTTCCCCGTCTCCTGGGGGGTCACCCTGGCTCCACTTTCTGCCCTGCCGTCCTTGGGCCTGCTTTCCACTCCCCCGGGTCCCACATACCGCCTCACCATTGGTAGCTCAGGGGTGAATTGTGGGGTCCTTGGTGCTCTCTGGGCCTGGGGAGGGGGTTTCTAGCAGAGGTTTCAAGACCCAACTAGGGAACAGCGTCAGGGCTAGAGGGGAGAGGGGTTTATGGAAAGGAGGAGGAGGAGAACTGTGAAGTGCTTGGTGCTGTCTGAGCTGGGTGATTTCCTTGCAGACATTTCATGTCCCAACTAGGGAATACCATCAGGGCTGAATGTTGGCTCATGAAACATCTGCAACAAAACGACCAAGCTCAGAAAGCACCAAGGACCTTACAGTCCTCCTCCCCCTCCTCCTCTCTCCAAACCTCCCTCCTTCTAGCACTGATGATGTTCCCTAGTTGGGCCATGAAACATCTGCAACAAAACGACCAAGCTCAGAGAGCACCAAGGGCCTTACAGTCCTCCTCCCCCTCCTCCTCTCTCCAAACCTCCCTCCTTCTAGCACTGATGATGTTTCCTAGTTGGGCCATGAAACATCTGCAAGAAAACCACCAAGTTCAGAGAGCACCAAGGACCCCAAAGTCGTCGTCCTCCTCCTCCTCCTCCTCTCTGCAAACCCCACTCCCTCCTGGCACTGATGACGTTGCCTAGTTGGGTCATGAAATGTCTGCAAGAAAACAACCAGGCCCAGAGAGCACCACGAACTTCACAGTCATCCTCCTCCTCCTGAACCTCCCTCCGTTCTAGCCCTGATGACGTTGCCTAGTGGGGCCATGAAACGTCTGCAAGAAAACGACCAAGCTCAGAGAGCACCAAGGACCCCACAATTGTTCTCCTCCTCCTCCTCCTCCTCCTCCTCCTCCTCCTCCTCCTTCTCCTCTCTCCAAACCCCGCTCCTTCTAGCACTGATGATGTTCCCTAGTTGGACCATGAAACATCTGCAACAAAACGACCAAGCTCAGAGAGCACCCTTACAGTCCTCCTCCTCCTCCTCCTCCTGAACCTCCTTCCCTTCTAGCACTGATGAGATTACCTAATTTGGTTCATGAAACGTCTGCAAGAAAACCACCCAGCTCAGAGAGCCCCCGAGGACCCCACAGAGACGAATTCACCCCTTCAACGCCAGGAAAAGATGCAGACCACGAAGCCCAGCCGACGCGTGCCCTCCAACCTCCAACCCCCCAGTAAGACCCCACCTCCGTACCTGCAAGGTTTCCAGGTCCTCTTCCTTCTCCAGCTCCTGCGTGGTGGTCCGTAACAACTCGGAGGCCTTTTTGAGACCACCGACAAAATGATGGGCTTTCTAGGAGGAGAGATGGACAAAGACATTTTATCACAATGGAGGTTGTGTCAAGGGTATTATTCATGAATAATGAGAGCCAATGAGAGCTGAGTTAGGGCTGAAACTGAAAGAGGCAATCCGGGCGTTGTTTGTCTCTGTTCTGTGCTCAGCTCTAAAGTGAAAGAGAAACTGACTTGCTTGCCTGCCTGCTGAACCGATGTCTGTTTCTGAGCTCCTGGGTTGCTTGTTCCGCTCTGAACCTGTAACATGTCTGCTTCTGTTTGAGTTTGCTCCATGCTGTAAGAAATCTACAACTGGTATTGTAAAATTTACTTTATATGTTTATAAAGAAGTTAAACGAAGCCTTAGTCATCTGTGTTTACTTTCTTGATGCTGAATTTACGTTGCGATACTCTGAACAGGAAGGAAGGAAGGAAGGAAGGAAGGAAGGAAGGAAGGAAGGAAGG